ACCAAACTAAAAATAACAAAAACAAACTAAGCAAACAACTAGAACAGGAACAGAATCATAGAAATGGAGATCACTTGGAGGGTTATCAGTGGGGGAGTGGGAGGGAGAGAGAGGAGGAAAAGGTACAGGGAATAAGTAGCACAAATGGTAGGTAGAAAATAGACAGGGACGGTTAAGAATAGTATAGAAAATGTAGAAGCCAAAGAACTTATATGTATGACCCATGGACATGAACTAAAGTAAGGGAATGTGGGTGGGAGGGGGTGTGCAGGGCAGAGGGGAATAATAGGGAGAAAATGGGACAACTGTAATAGCATAATCAATAAAATACATTTAAAAAAGAATAAAATGTTATAAATACCAAAAACAAAAAGAAAATGGACATACAAGTCCAGGAAGCACAGAAAGTCCCAAACAAGATTAAACTGAAAGAGGCCCACACCAAGACACATGATAAGTAAAATGTAAAAGGTTAAAAACCAAGAGATAATCTTTTATTTACTTATTTATTTTTAGAGAGAAGGGAATGGAGGGAGAAGGAATGGGAGAAAAACATCGATGCATGGCTGCCTCTTGCTCACCCCCTACTGGGGACCTACCCCATAACCCAGGCATGTGTCCTGACTGGGAATCAAACCAGCAACCCTTTGATTTGTAGGATGGTACTCAATCCACTGAGCCACACCAGCAGGGGCCAAAGAGATAATCTTAAAAGCAGCAAGAGAAAAGCAGTTAGTTACTTATGAGAGAGCTTCTGTAAGACTGGCAGCTGATTTCTCAACAGAAACTTTGCAGGTCAGAGGGGTTGGCAAGGAATATTCAAAGTAATGAAAAGCAAGATTACTCAGCAAAGCTACCATTTAGAATGGAAGGATATATAAGAGAGCTTCCCAGACAAGAAAAAGCTACAGGAGTTCATCATCACCAAACCAATATTACATAAAATATTAAAGGGAAGAAGAAAGAAGGAGGAGGTACAAAAGGGAGGGAGGGAGGGAGGGAGAGGAGGAGAAAAATAAGGAGAAGTGGGGGGAGGAGAAAGAAGAGAGGAGATAAAAAATATAAATGATAAAATGGCAATAAACACATATCTATCAACAATTGAATCTAAAAGAATAAATGAACAAGCAGAACAGAAACAGACTGATAGATACAGAGAACATTTTGGTGATTGCCAGATGGGATGGGGGCTGGGAGGTTGGGTGAAAAGATGAAGGGGTTAAGAACTACAAATAGGTAGTAACAGAATAGTCATGGTGATGTAAAGTACAGCATAGGAAATATAGTCAATACTATCCTGATAACTATGTATGGTGTCAGAAGGGTGCACGATTTATCGGGATGATCAGCTAGTTATATAATATCTAATCATGGGGGTGTACACATCTGAAACTAATATTCTCTGTCAACTGTAATTTAAAAATAAAAAAAAATTTTGTAAGTCAAAGTACACAAAATAAAATTGTACTTATCTAGAAAGAATTCCACATTAGCTCTTATAATAAAGGTTGAAATGCAAATAAAAACTTTAAAAAATTAAGCTTTAATTGCTAACATCCAATTACTGTTGATGCAAGGAAAACTACCAACTGAATTATGAAATTATCCTCCATTTAAATTATGTCCTACAGAAAACTTGACTAGAGAGAACTCAGAACCAGTATGGATTTGATTTCCAAGTTAAAAAGGAAAAGAAATAGAAAAAAATGGAGATAGTTGGTGATGCACCTTTATTGAACAGTAAATGCATATGATTCAAGCAATTTACTCTTAAAAGGAGGGAGAATCTCTACAAAGAAAACAGCTACTAATCAGCAGCTGAATGAATGATGCCAGTCCTTTCCCATTCTGCTGTTTCAATGCCTTAGTTCCACCTCCCTCCAGGTTCCTGATGATGGGTGAACCTAGCTCTGGTTCCAAGATAAAGTGACATTAGGAGATAAGATAAAAAGCAAAAATAAAACTATTTTTTTCTTTAAAAAAACAGCTTAAGAAGAATACTATCTCCCAGTGCTAAAAACTGAATTCCAACAGTAGTATTCTGCGGTGGGCAGCGCCATCGAATCAGCTGCAAAGAAGCTGTAGTTTGGCCCCCCTTCCTGTTCCTAGTGAATGCATTTTCCTGGTGATCTGAGTGCCTGCTTGGGAATGGAGCCCAGCCCTGAAATCCCAGTGTGGGAATTTGGCCCCATCAACTGATGAGATTATATGTTAGGCACTGTTCTCGGTGCCAAACACACAAGTAACTGCCTGATACAGATGAGTAGTGTTTACCCTCTAAACTCTTCATTTTGAGACATCCTGACAATCCTCTTAGTGCTCTCCTGGTAACCAATTTCTGGAATGTGACCAGGCTCATGAAACCCCTAAGCAAAGTTCCTTATTTACCTAGCAGAGCCCTTGCTATTAGCCAGCCTAAGCTGCTCTATTAGACAAATGCCAAGGTTTTGTCCCTCTTCATGTGATTTGCTCTGCTGTGAATCATGGGAGAAATGATGTCTTTGGGAAGACTGCATTGAGCTGAGGTTTGAAGTGTTGCTTCAACTGTGACGTGTCTTAGGACTGTGTTATCCTTCCTATATGGTAGCCACCAGCCACATGTGTATTCAATACCTGAAATGTGGCTGATTGGAACAGGTGCTTTACATGTAAAATACATATTGTATTTGAAAGAATCAGTACAAGGAGAAGGAAAGATTAAATGCTGAATAATACATATTTGTTAAATAAAGTATACTGTTAAGTTCAGCTATTTCTTCTCACCTTTTCAAATGTGGTTACTAGATTATTTAAAATTGCACATGCCATTTACATTGTATTGCTACTGAACTGTACTACTTTAAAACATTTAACTAATGGTAGTAACGAGAGTCATTATTTTAAGAGAAGGGTATATCTAGATTATCATTAGAAAATATTTAAAAGTGAATTCCTTTGCAGAAAAATGCCAGCTAACAAATGCTGAAGAAATGTTGGGTTAGATTATTACTATTCTGCAATCTCCACTGGAATAAGCAACATCGACAGATGCTAAAACCACTGGTGGCAAAATTACACCCTGCAGATTATTTATAAACTGCAAACACAGGACCTGGTGGTCTTTAACTACTTTAACAAATGGTCAAACTTAGCATATGAATAATGCTACAACTTGCCATTACATGCCTCTTGATGTGCGGTAAATTAAGGTAAACATTACCTACAAGGAATTTTGAACCAATGTTTTACTTTGAGAATTTTCAAACACAGAACACAATGGAAGAATTTATGGCAAAAATCTGTACTCATGCTATGTAATATTTTACTACACAGTACTAACATTATCATATATCCTTCCATTTCCCTATCCATTTTACTTTGATGCATTTCAAAGTAAATTGCAGCCAATAGTACACACCATCCCTAAATAATCTATGACATATTCTTGCCAAAAATGTTTAACCTGAACCTAATCAAGCCTCTAATCCTAACTTCCAGTTTACAGGAAATACAGGGCTATAGAGGAATCAGTTAACTGACACTGAGAGAAAATTAAAAATCCAGAATATGGGACATTCTGTAATATGTGATTCTAAGAGTCTTAAAAGACAACAACAAATTACAACTTGTCAACCTAAATCAGAGGCTATTCAATTTTTAAAAAGCTACAAAAGACATTCTTACAACAAAGAGAGAAATGTGAATATGCATTGGGTATTTGTTGATATTAAGGAATTATTATTGATTTTCTTAGATGTGGTAACAGAAACTGTGGTATGGAGGTGACTGTCATTTTTGGAGACGAATGCTGAAGAGAGTGTGTGTATATACATGCACACATATATATTTTCAATTTATTCCTTTATTTTACAGAAATAAAGCAAATACAGCAAAATGTTAATAATTATTGATTCTAAGAAGAGGGTAACAGGTGTTTACTGTGTTGGTCTTTCAACTTTTCTCAGAAAGTGCATTGAAACATTTCAAAACAGAAATTGGGGGTGGGGGACAGATAAAAACTTCACTGCAGAGAGGGCATATGGTCTCTTCTGCTTTGGCCTGCCTGGGCTTTTCAGGTCAAGAATGTGATCTTTGAAAAAATATCTTACTATAGGCACACACAAAAATATGTTTCTATAACATTCTTTATTTCTACCTCAGAGCCAATGTTATTATTAGCTAAGATTCTTCAATATGCAATATTACAACTGGTAATTCAGTCTGCAAGCAGAGGCTGCAATGCTGTAGCATTACAGAAGACAGCTCAATCACCAGATGAGCCTGAGATCAGGCCCACCCCCACCAGTCTGTGTTACGTGTAGACTGAGACAGTCTGTTGCACAACTTCAGATTTTTTATACACCACTTGTTAAAAATATCCTGCAATAGAATTTGCTGATTCCTGGCAACCGCAGAGACAAAGTTTCTGTGATCTTCTTCCTAAGATTTTATTCCGCTTTCCAACCTACTGCCATTCCCTAAGTCATCAGGAGAGCTTCACCCTTAAGTCCAAAGACACACTCATCACTCAAGTAATTAGAACTGTAAACAGAAAATCATTAGCTGAGATCATTGACTATGATGCAGCACAAACAAATAAAAGTGTGAATTTATACCACTAACTAAAACAAGATTTACCAAACAAACAAGAAATCTAGACACGGAATCCTATGTGTGTACCTCTAGTTGAGGAAAAACATATCACCCACTGACAACCAGTACCTTTTGTTCAGACTTCAGTTGGAAATATCATATTACCTGGACATACAGAGGCACCTTGGAGGAAGGAGTGAAAAAGACTAGATAATATTAGACACCAAACTAAATATTTGTACAATTGGGCATTAGGTTTTACAGTTAAGAGTGTTTTACAATGAAGAGTGTTCTTTGGCTTAAAGGAACGACAGTAAAATTTGAAACTATTGTACCTTGGTGAAGACATGGCAGCACATGCATTCAATAAAGTAATTAATTACATATGTCTCGTTTCACATGCAATGAAAAATGAAAATTGTATTTACCAGGGTTTGTCTTCTCAAGTTGATACCATCGGTAAAATGCCCTTTTCTTCTGTTCACTCAGGTCTGATCCCTGCTGCAACAGCCAGTGAGAGATCCGGCTCTGACTGATACCTATGTAGGAAGAGAAACAGCTGTTGCAAGTACCAAAATCATGGGGAAGTTAGGGAGGGTTCTGTTGGTTCTAGGTTAGTGAGTTCTTTAAAACTCTTCTCTATAAGGAAGCTGCAACCTCAACACTCTTTCATACTGGGTGTTTCTGTAAAGGCTGACTGAATGGGCTAGGATATATTCAGAATTACCTACTAGAGCTCATAGCATTGTATCAGCTGAGATGTGAAAGTGGTCTCTAAAATCAACCTCCAACCCTGTTCCACAAATATATGAGAGATACATGAGGAGATTTCTAAGTCATATCTATTTCTCAGAAGTTGTTTAGATTTGTGCTCCTTTAACCACCACCACCTCTACTCCAATCTGGGTTTAGAATATTAGAACTTTCACTAGATATCGAGAAGAAAAAAAATCAAGACGGCAAGTTTTGCTACTCATTACTGCTGCTGATAAAAAAAAGTTAGGGGCTGGGAAAGGGGAGGTCACTGAAAATACTCTCTTCAATAAGGTTCTTGGCTCATTTGTTAATTCATTCAGGCATTTCAGATTCATCACAATTAGCAGAGATAACTAAGGACTGGAAGACTTTTAGAGTTCTGCTGCAATATGACCTCTTAAGAATTTTCAAGAGGTAAAGACAGTCTTTTAACAGACATTTTTTCAAAAAACCGAGTAGAATATAAAGCAGTTTTCAACTATCACTAAGAAGTTCTTGACAGCAATTAATTAGAACTGTGAAAAACCTCTACACGTGAAAGTAAAAGAGGATATCTAAAACTGACTAGTATGAAAATTACACACTCCTTCTGGTCATTACAGCTATTTAAAAAATGAATAATTTAACACAAAACTTGCAAAAGCAAAGAAAAATAGGAAAGATGAAACATATGTCCAAAGGGCACTTCTAAAGGACCAGCCAGCTATCAGAGAGGGTTAACAGTATCTGAACTCGCCCCAGGAATTTCTGCTGGTAACTGGATAGTACTGAATACCACTTGTGCCAACACCTGTTTAAAGCAATAATGTGCAACAGGAGGAGTGGTTATTGTGAAGTGATCACACCCCTTCACATGAGAAGCAAGAGGCTTGGTAATCATATTTAACTCATTAAGCAAGTCCCTAAAGTTTCATACTTTAAAAAATCTATGTTAGAGGAGAATCTGGAGAGGAGTTTTGTTAAAAGACAAATTGAGTTGTGAGGCAAGGTTCTCTGATTGGAAACAAAGTTCACGTTCAAAGAGTGAAATTTAGTTTTCCAACACCTAAGTAGCTGCATTCTCAAATAATCCACACAGTGGTTTTCCAACGGACTGAAGATCCATGTGATGCAGGTGCTGCAGCTAGCACTGCAGGCTTGTTCTAAGTGAACACTCGTTACTGAAAACTGTCTGTGTTTACCAATGCCTTCACCAGAAGTCTAGGTTCAGACATTACACTACTTTTAAACAAGAGTGAAGAAAACCACCATTTACTATCATGAAATCAAAATTGATTTTCATGTCAAAAAATAAAACATTTTATATGGATTCTTCATGTTGGTAGCATACTACTAAAAAACAAAGAAAATTTGAGAAAAATCTTTTAAGAAAAAATGGACTATATCACTCCTGTTACTTTCAGTGTTAACTCTCCCCTACACAGTCAGATCACACAGAACAAACTCAGAGCCCACTTGACATTATGCTGTCCAGGTTCTGGCCGTGCTTCGGGGGGAAGAGGGCAAAAGCCCATCAAAAGAAAGTTAGTTAAATGATGACATACTCACATAACAGAAAACCAGGAAGACTTTAAAAGTAATGTTCTAAATCAGCCACCCAAACCAAACAACAACACAACAACAAAACCAACCAAACAGAAGTCCATCAATACCAAGTTCTGGCAAGGACATGGAATATATGGAACCCTCATACTCCTGATGGAAGGGTAAAATGTCAGGACCACTGTGGGAAATGGGTGGGCCATACCTACTAAAGCTAAACATAAGCATAGCATGGGACCTAGCAGTTTCTTCCCTCAGTGTATAGCACAAAGAAATACGTGTTCAACAGCAAGGTGTTCTAAAGACATATACAAGAAGGTTTATATGAGTATTACCCATAACAGTCCCTGATTTGAAACAATTCAAACACCCACCAACAGAATGCATAAACTGGGATACTTATGCATTTATCCACAGACTACTATGCCAAATAGAAAAAGGACGAACTACTGCTACATACACCCCATGGATACATCTTACAAAAACAATGTTGCTCCCCGCCTCTGCCCTGCCCAAAATAAGACACATATAAAAGCCACACACAGCTGTATGATTCAGTTACATAAGACTGAAAAACAGACACAATTACCTATGTGAATGGCCACCAGAACAGTGTCGGGCTGCCTGTGGCTTGGGCGGAGCAGGTTAGGCACTGGGAGGCAGTGTGAGGAAGGCTTACGGAGTGAGCGGCACTATTCTTGATGTTCATCCGGATGGTGGGGATACGTATGGCTTCACTTGGTAAACGTCACTAAGCTAAACAATTTCTCTGTTTATATTTCAATTTACAGAAGTTTCCCCAAGAAGTTTTTAAAATTCTATGTAGTATTCTAAAAAAGTAAATGGATATGTATCAATATGAAATGATGCCCATGATATAAATGACAAAGTATACAATTTTATAAATATATATTTACATCACCTACATTCTGTTTCGTATAGTAACAAACACTTACATATAGCCAAAGACAGTAGAGTAGCAGACTCCCTACACAGGATACCTCTACTGTTTTCTTAATCATTCTACAAATAGGTATTAATTTATTTTATATTTAGCCTTCCCTTATAAACACTACATACTTTACTGGTTGTTTTATAAACACAGCAATTAAGTTTAAACAAAAGTACAAAAAAGAAGTTAATTTCGGCCTTCCCTCAGTAAACAGTAAACAATGTTTAACTGTTAATATATGTTACTCCATAATTTTCTTTGTGCGTAATTATTAATTTAAGAAAGCAAAGGGACAGAAGGTAGTAAAGAAAGAATATCCTTCTGTCTAGTCTTTTGTAAGAAAGGAAATAAAAAAAGAACTTCCTTGTAAACTTAATCCATTTTTATATAATAAATATAGAAAATGAAGTAATTCTGCAAGTAGTTTTTCTACAAGAAGCACAATAAAAATTAAATATGTAAAATACATTTTTTCCAATGATTTTTCTCAATTACCAGCTTAGTGATAGGTAAAGTTCTTTTAAACTCATCCTTAAGAGGCTGCTCCGTGCTTTTGGACCTTTGGGTGAGCTTGGTGTCAAAGGGCCATGCAGCTTCCCTACACTACCAGTTTTTGTATTTCTCCTTGGGGAAAAGTTTTCCTAACGCTCTTCTTACTGTCTACTGCAGAAAAAAATATTATTCTCCACAAGTATTAGCTCTTCAAGGCCTCTTTTCTACCTTTCACAGGCAGAAGAAAAGAAAATTTACATATAACCTTCATACACTGAGAAATTACTAACCCCTGCTTGATTTCCTTCAAGAAAGTGATCACATTGTATTCAAAAGGACGTTGCCAGCCTCATTCACATTCTTTCCTGAGCTTCTGCCCCACCAGGCTTCTTCCAGTTTCTCAAATGCTGTGTTCCCTTCCACTAGAGGGCTCCCCACCACTACCCATTTTTGCCCAAGTCTCAATACAAATTTAAGTGCATCTCCTTCTTTCTACTTCCTGTGGAACACGACACTACTGACCACTCATATCATCTTCATCCATGGAATGAATGCTGGAGACAACTCTCCAATGCAACTTTAGGAATTGCTTTGCTAGCTCCATACACATGTTAGTGTCCCTAGGGTTACATCTTTAAGCACCTTCTCTCAATCTATACACTCTTCCTTGGTCATCTGAACCATCATAATTTAAAATTATCACCTACATGTCAGAGCACCAGACTTTTTTTTTTTTTTGAACCATCTGCTAGTTAGCTTCATGAGAATTTCCCACAGGTCTTCAACACAGTAAATTTAATTCATTAACCTTTTCCTTTTAATCATCTCTTATTCTGTGTCCCTCATCTCAATTTTACCTTCTACTCTACTCTTTTCCCCCAACTCTCAGAGGCTTACTAAATCCAAGCTTTCCCTTCCTAAAATTCTCTCCAGTCCTCACTCCTGAAGCTTGGAATCTCAGCCTCTTTTTCCTGGACAATTGAAATAACTGACTAAAAGAATGAGCCATCTAAGATCCAAAATTCTCCTGATCAGATGCTTTTTAACTAGAAGATCATTTCACAGTTGAAAAAGTGAAACATGCTTCTTCAAGCAATTTTCTGCTTGAGAACTGCAGTCATTCTACAATTCACCTTCCACAGTTTTTAAGTTAAAGCACATGCACACATCTTCCCCCAAGATAACTCACAAACAGTCCATCCCCAACCCTTCTCTTACTCCCTATCCTAAAGTTATTCTTTGAAAAAAAAAAGTCACTTAATTTTGTTCAGTAGATTCACATGTAAGTGAGATCATATAGTATTTGTCTTTCTCTGACTGGCTTAGTCACTTGGCATAATAATATTCAGATCTTCAGGTCCATCCATGCTATTGCAAAAGATTTCCTCCCTCTCCCCCTCCCTCTCTCTAACTGAGTAGTATTCCATTGTGTAAATGTACCACAGCTTTTTTATTCACTCATCTACTGATGGATACTTGGGTTGTTTCTAGATTTTGGCTATTGTAAATAATGCTTCAATGAACATACATTTTTTTGAATTAGTGTTTCAGGTTTCTTAGGATATATTCCCAGAAGTGGAATTTCTGGGTCAAAAGGCAGTTCCATTTTTAATTATTTAATTTCTTGTTTATTTGACATGAATCCTTCCAGAATCTTTCCTATGCTTTTAATACACAAATATGTGCGCGCACACACACCTAGTTGTTTTTTAAAAGCACATTTGGAATTATTCTGTACATAATGAATAACCTGCATTTCTTACATAATGTCTTGGAATTTTTTTCATGTAGTACATT